GGGGGGGGGGGGGGCGCACGCCCAGGGCGCCATTAGGCTCTGGCGCGGCGCCCACGGGGTGGGCTGCCCGTCCCCAGCTAAATACGTGACTGTGCATGTCTCGCTCGCTCTTACGCGCTAGCACTCGCTCTACTCTCCGGTGGGAGGCCGGGTAATGTAGTGTGCCGCGCAGCTCAGTGCCGTCTTGGGCCGGGCCACGGTCTATCATCGTAACTCCACATGCAACATGACAATTGACATGCTCTCAGCTCTGTCGGCCGCCGCAGGGCGCAGCAACCGGGTATAGACGGTAGAGAGTGCGCGTGCGCAGTCTGCACAGCCTGACATGCAGCCGCTGCGCTCCTTGTGTATTATCCAGCAAAAGCGAAAAAGTGAATCAAGCGGTTCGGGTAAAAGGGCAACAGTGCCAAAGTGCGGCCTGCGCACAGGCACCACAATCCACAGTGTACAGATTCGTGATGCACCGCGCCTCTCTGCTGACACGCTCAGAGCCGCAGACGCCGCGAGAGCCAACTCGATCGCCACCGGCGCCGAATCCCGAATGTCTACCGTCAGCGTCGCTTGCCTTCCGGGCGGCGCGGCTCTGGGAACTTGAGCTCGGAGGCGCGCTGGCGGAGGTAGTAGAGCTTTGACAGCCGCGGCCGCTTTCGGGGGCGCGAGCGCACGTCGACCGAGACGAGGAGCGGCGAGTAGGCGGCGAACTGGTACTCGACGGGCAGGTCGTCCGGCTTGCACAGCAGCCGGAACGACGAGCCAAGCGCGCGGTGGTGCTTCGGGGCGGCGGGAGCGGCCGGGTGAGGGTGCGCGCAGTGCGGGAGAGGGAGGGCGCGCTGCGGCGGCGGACCTTGGCGATGCAGACTCCAACCACGCGCTCGGTCGGGCCGTCCGACCCCACGTCGGCCGGCCGGTGCTCCACCTCGAGAATGTCGCCGCGGTCAAAGCCCTTCATGTCGCGCCACGGCTCGGCCACATTCCGGCGCGCCACTTCGCGCCGCTCGACCTCCTGCGTGATGAAGCGGCCGCGCTTGGGCGCCGCCTTGCCGCGCCGCCGTTCGCGGTTGTGCATCGCCGCGGGGTCGCCCTGGCGCAGCTGGTAGTACGCGCCGAGCCATGGCGCCGGCCGAGCCCACGGGTTAGTCGGCCCGACGTCTGCCGGCGCGGGCGGCGGCGCGGTGCTGACCGACGCGGCGGCTCGCCGCAGGAGCGGCGGCGGCAGCGGCAGCGGCAGGCGCGGCGGCGGCCACCTCTGCCGCAGCGGCTGCGCCAGCGCCCTAGCGAGAGACCGTGTACATCCTTTGGGAGTCCCCACTTCGCTTCAGGGTCCGGCTCCGAGTACCTTGGTACCGTACTTATTTTAAGAGCAGGTAAACAGCAATAGATCCGGGTGTAGTGCCGGATCAGTTCCTGGAGCCAGGGGGACCGATTCGCGCTTGCCAAGGGACCAATTGCTAGACACCCGGGGGGGGGAGGGGGTACACTACAGGGGGGCCCGCACAGGTGGGCGAGCCAAACTCTGGCGGAGGCAGCCCGCTCACCCCCAGGCGCCCCTCGAACCGGAGGGTGGTCTGCCGCCGCTGCGCGGTCGGCGCGCCGAGCGCGGGAGACATATCAGCTTCGCGCCACAGGTGGGGGGACCGATTCTCAGCAAGTTTGGCAGCGCGGGCAGTGTGAAGGATCGATTGCTGTACAACGAGGGACCGATTCCGTGAGGGCTGGGTATCGATTAGGCCGCTTGAGGGCCGGATCTATTGCTGTTTACCTGCTCTTAAAATAAGTACCCGACGGTAGGGCATCCACCACGCCGGCCCCCCCCGCACGCGCGCACGCACACGCACACGCACACGCACGCAGGCACGCACGCACGCACGCACGCACGCACGCACGCACACGCACACGCGCACGCACACGCACACGCGCACGCACACGCACACGCACACGCACACGCACACGCACACGCACACGCACACGCACAAACAAACAAAACGCACACGCACACACGCACACGCACACACGCACACACGCACACACGCACACACGCACACACGCACACACGCACACACGCACACACGCACACACGCACACGCACACACGCACACACGCACACACGCACACACAGAGGGGGGGGGGAGAGAGAGAGAGAGAGAGAGACAGAGAGAGAGAGAGAGAGAGAGAGAGAGAGAGAGAGAGAGAGAGAGAGAGAGAGAGAGAGAGAGCGTGTGAACGGGGAGTCCGTCTCCCCCCATCCCCAGGGCAAGCTCTCACAGACTGTGACACAGTGATTTCTGTGAAGCACGCTTCTGACTGTCGTTGCTGTCTGTGGAGGTCCAAACAAAAGAGCAACGCCAGGGGGGGTGAGGTGTGTGAGGTTTCTAGCCTACAGCACTGTGCGCGTACCAGTAGGCCGTAGATCCAGAATTAATTCACCAGGCTCCCCTGCTTGCTGCTTTTTTGGTGGGGTCTGGGGAGCAGGCTGCAGGGGGAGCCTGGGGTGCATGGCCCAACGCATGGCCTGGTGAACATATCACCTCCTAAAATCACGCTAAAGCCGTTTCCTGCCGTACGTACTTACCAACCTAGGCAACTTCGTAAACTTGGTTCCCTTGAGGAAGCCTTGCTTGACTGCCACTTGCCTGCCTTGCTTGTGAAACCGAAACCGAACCTGCAGCGGTAGTGTGTGGCGAGCGGCGGTCGCTAGCATGGTCGCTGATACAAAGACGGTGGGTCCCGCGGGGTAGGGGGAGTCCGGTTGCTAGCTAGCTAGTTAATGGGTGACCTGGGTCCCAAAGCCAAAATGTAATCTGTTGCGAGCATGGGTGCGAGTGTAGGTGAACCTTCTTTTCTAGACGGCTAGAATTGAGAGCAGCCTCGCTCTCAATCCTCGAAGTCGAAGGATTGTGAGCAGCACTCCTCGCAATCGTAGCATCTCTGACGGCGATGCACGTCGCCCCATGGTGCGCGTAGCTATGACAGGGACCGCGGCCGCGGAGCCGGCGGCGGACGGGGCTGGCGCGCAAGCGCCGGCCACCGTCGGGCCGCCGGGAACGCGCCGCGGACGACCCTGGAATCGCTTCGATCGCGCGCACATGGAAGACTGCCTCATTGCCGCAAGGCTCGCAGGTGTGTCGCAGCTCAGGTATGAGTGCCCTGGCTACGGGACGGCGACCTTCGAGCTGAAGTCCGCGAAGGCCGCGGGCGACCGCGAGCCGGTGCATGCGGCGGAGCGCTCGTTCGTCGAGCGCACCGCGTCGCGGAAGGAGGAGCCGACGGAGGAGCAGAAGGATGCTCGGGCCGCGGCTCGCAGGGCCAAAAAGGCCCGGCAGAAGGCGAACAAGGCGGAGAGGAAGGCTGCGGCGGCGGCCGCGAGCGAGGCCGAGCGTGCGGACTACCCGCACGAGCAGCTGCGCGAGAACGTCGAGTTCGTCATGGACGGCCTGGAGGCTGCGACGCAGGCGGCGCGCAACGCCGCAACCCCAGCGGGTCCAATATTCAGGTCGCCTACTCGCTGCCTCCCGAGGGGGGCGGCGGGTTCGGCGACCTGGTGTACGCCACGGTCCCTCTGGGCTCCGTGGCGACGAAGGTCGCCCGGGACTGGCTCGCCAACGAGCTCTACGAGCCGTCCCGGCGCGGCAAAATTGATGCGGCCTGCAGGGACCGAAAGGTCGCCGACCTGATCACGGCTGCCGGCGCCTCGGCGCCGGCCGACGCCGTGTTCAGCGGCAGGTTCGCGACGGGCGAGGCGCCCCGCCCGACGACCTCCGCCTCCAAGGCGGACGAGGGCGACGGCGTCGGCGGCGATGGCGGGACCGGCATCAAGCACTTTGACCTTTTCGAGCCGGACCCCACCCCCATGGAGGATCTCTGAGGTCCTCCCCAGTCTCACCCCACCTTACCTCTGCCCCCCCCCCTCCCCCCATCCCTCTGCCTCCCATAGGGCAGGATAGCACTAGCATATGCGCCGAGTGCGCACACTGGGCCCACATAGATGTGACCCGCCCGCTCGAGTGCGGCGCCCAGATATGCTAGTGCTTGAGAGGACACCACAAACGCGGCACGGCCCGTTTGGGATGTCTGCGGAGATTTTGTCTTAGCACACACAGTGAGTCATTCGGAGTCATTCGATGGCCAGAGTGCGATTGTGTGTGTGCGGGAGTTGGTTTGTCGGGAGGGAGGGGCAGGCTGCTCACCCAACGTGCACCGGGCCAGTGCTTGCACTTTGAATGCCGTGGGGTCCTGCCCGTGTCCGGGTGTGGAGATGCGAGGGTCGCCCCCCCTTGCCCCACCACTTTGTGTGTGTGGAGAAATTTACCTTTTACCTTATACCTTAGGCACGTAGGGGGCCGGTGCCGGCTCGTAGCCGCCGCCGTAGGGGGCCGGTGCCGGCTCGTAGCCGCCGCCGTAGGGGGCCGGTGCCGGCTCGTAGCCGCCGCCGTAGCCGCCGCCGTAGGGGGCCGGTGCCGGGCATGGTGCCGGGCTTGGCGCCGGTGGCTTCTCGATCTGCAGCAGTGAGAGGGGGAAGCAGCCGTGAGGGAAGCAGCCGTCGAGCAGCGGAAGCGGCAGGGTGGTGGAGGCAGTGTGGAGGGAGGAGAGGCGGGGTGCAGGAGACGAGAGGAGACGAGGCGGGCGGCGCAACCTCGTCGGCCCACTTGATCTTGACGCTGGTGTCGACGGCGTTCTCGGCGCTTGCCGACCCGCTGACGCCGACCTTCGCGCTGTCGTCAACCAGCTGGTTGAGCGAACCGCCGCCGCCGCCGCCGCCCTCGCCCTGGCCCCAGATGCTGGCGCTGACCTTGGAGTTTCAGGTAACGCCTTGAT